GTTGCGAAAACAAGGTCAAACAACCTCTATACAACGAAAGGAGACTGCAACCACACAAAAGGCCACACCACCTTGGTCTTCATACCTTCGATAACCCAGAAGTGTTTATGATATTTTACAGGGTTAGGATAAGATTACTTCTTAATTCAAGCCTAAAATGACGTGATTTCAGAGGTGATTTTTGCTTTAAATGCATCTGTGCCACAGCAGATGAAATATCAGAAATGGTTCATTCTAGTTATCCAGCGGGTTCAATAAAGCATCCCATAGAAAATTGATAACCACCTCCAGTTAAAGAGATTTACCACTTCCTTCATTGTCCATTTTTACACGAAAATGGAGCATAAATAACACAGATGCTCCCTAATTCCTCCACATTCTTAAATAAGTAGCTTATATAATTCCCAATTGGATTGCAAACAGGGTCCTAAGGGTCGAAGAGGCACATCACAACTCCATCACATAGTCCCGGATGCCAGTGGGCAAGAGGGCAGATGCGACTTGCAAGGCAAGCCAAGCCTCTTACAAGTGGCACTTGTAATTGGACTGCGAATGAAAAAAGCAAGTATTTGCCAAAAATTGGCGATAATACGTATATTCAGTGTGAGTATGTTTCGAAACCATCAGTATTTATTTAAAAAGGATGTTTTTGGAATAGAGGTTAAGTGATATTCAATAACTTCACAACCTCTGCCAATAACATTGTGGAAAAATTTCCATAATAATTTCGAAGCATACTCACGAAAGGTTGTTATTACCTATGATAGTTCGCTTGAAAAGATTAAAATTCCAATCAGTTAGAAGTAAATGAAGGATGAGTAAGGCTGGTGAGCGCTGTATTCTATTTTATTCTCTCTCATAAGAAGGATAATTTGAGTGTTTATAGTGCCTCTTCTTAGCTATTCTCTCTCTTTTCCAGAGTTAACCCTTTAATTGTGAATCTTATGATATGACCTAAACATAACCAGTTTAATGGGCTGATATTAAATTCCAACTTTACTTGGATTTGTGTACACAATCATACAAATAGGATTTAAAGGCATAGCAATTACCATCTCAGAACTGAGAAGAGCATTTAAGTAAAATGTTAGCTGGTTGGTGGCTGGTCCCAGTTAAAATGCCTTACCTGAAAGCCAAGAGGATCAGCCCTCCAGGCATCTGGTGTCAGATCATGCCACCAAACAATGACTTCGTCGAGTCCAATAACCGTTACACGGACTGCCATTGGAGCTTTAATCGGTCCGGCCTCCCAAGTCTCGAATATCCGGCATGCGGGGTGAGGAGCGAAGAGGTCGGACACATTACTCTTAAATGTCCGAGCATGGGGACTTTCCGAGCGGTTCCAAGACTCTGAGAAAGATCCTCTCTGAAGTGCACAGGCTGCGCTCGACTCTGAGATCAAGGCCGACTCCGGAAGAAGACGATCCGCCAGCCTTGGTTTTGGCCTAAAGATGTCACCTGTTTCAGACTTCTTCTGTGTGCAGGTGCCACTCAGGCCTGCAACCTGGGCACGCTGACAAGTGTTTGATGATGCCAAGCTAAAGGCGCGTATGTCGAATTGGTACCGTGCGTTCGGTTGAAGGTTGTCGAGAAGCAATGTTTGCTGCCCGGGCTGATCAACTCGGACAGCAAAGATTCTGAGGTGGCCTGAATTAGTAAAAACAGTCAGACTTTCAGCCTGTTTGGATACATTTCGAATCGGCACTATCTCGGTCCCGGTGCCGGCTTCAAGGTCGAGCAGCTGGCTTTCAATCAGGTATCCCCCAGGAAGACCATTCCATTCGGAGGGGGAAAGGGGCTGAAACAAGTGAAGAAAGAAGAATAAGATTGAGAATATTGGAGGGGCTATTCACGCAATCAGGAAAACCACTTATACTTCGGTTTAAATATATTTTCCGGACTACCAGTCAATCAGATATATGAGATGCTTTTACCATATTTTTTTTAAATGATGAAGGACATGTAGTTGAATTTTCTCACAATGATATGAGTAGACCTTACGCTTACAGCGAGATGGAAATTGCAGTCCATCCTGAATGATAATACGTTTTGCGATGCAAGTATATGTGAAATTCAAAGGAAACTTAAGGTCTGTCCATATCATTGCGGAAAATTTCAACAATTAGTCCTTCATCACCATAAACGAAATATAATGAAAACATCGCATAAACCCTATAAGCCACCTCGTTTTCAGAACTGGCTTGTGCTGCTATGGAGACTTAAGACAACGTACCCTATATTGCGTCCTCTGGCACTGTTGACGCGTGCTTCTCCGATATCGGACCACAGAATGGGTACATTCCCCGACGTTTAACCGGCCTCGTAGTCGGCATCATCAGAGATAAGCGATATGCCTTTGATTGGTATGACAAACCTGCTAATACTTGTCCTGATGCATTTTCCTATCACATCCCGAAATCCTTATCTCATGCTCTAACCTAAATCTACTCTATAAACTGATTGGTACCCTCATCTGGACCGAACTACTCAAGATGTGCCTCTTTTGTAGAGTGTCTATTGAAGCGTAATTATCTTCTATTCATAATGAATTTGTATCTATGGGTCTATAATAAGAAATAAATGCAATCTAGGTCGATTAAGGTGATGAAGATTGATGGTTATGTTGTCCCACATTTATATGAGTAGTTGCTACGATGACATGACACTTCAGTCAGCAGTACCTCTCAAAAAGTAACCACATAGAGAAGAGACTAGTTTAGACCTCGAGCAAATCTCATCAGCCCCACTAATGAGGTTCTAAACAGAGTTTTGGCGACAAATTAAATCCATACAGCATAGCCAAGGATAAAAAGTAAGCCATAGGAAAATGTGACTTCCATGGCGAATCAGAGCTCTACAATATTATATCTTTGTGGTGAGATAGTCGACGAGGTAAAGTTGTACAGACAGATCCCGATTAATGCGAGTAATTTGTCATCTAAAATCGTCATAATATTCCAAATCATACTATTCGAAGGGACTATAACATAAAGTCATGTAATTGGTCCCATCCCATTTTAACGTTTAATAAAAATTTCAAAATACAATTTTTTCTCCCATTCTTAATGTAATGTAAAAGCTGGGGATATCCCAAAGGTAGTCGAAACCAAAGGTTCTTTGCAAACAATGCAATACAATATAGTAAGCATTATCACCTGTTGTTTGAGCAATCGTCTGTGCAGTTCTTCGTAAGTACTATGCTTTAATTGTTTCGATTAGCGCCTTGTGCATTGGCTGAGATTAAGATGTGTTTGTTAGTAAAGATATTACTTTTACTGTTTAGAGTATTACGCATCGTTGATTCATGCATTGCAAATTTAGAATTGCTATTACCACCTTTTTCTCTTATTATTCCCTCAAATTTATGCTCTAACGTAATCATTAATCGCTTCTATTTTTCGCCTCCGATTTCGACTATAGTATTCTTGTCTTTACCTTTACTTACATTAATATACTTTAGTTTACATATAAAACAGGATGGCGTGACGAGCCTCAATATGTGCATAGAGGGCAATAGTCTGATTAAAGATGATGCATCTGTTCCGCTGTTTTCGTTGTAGCTTCATGCACATAGGCCTGTTTTTAATCCCGTTGGGGGTACCAAATGGATTTAGATGAGTTCGAATTTGCAGTCTAATCTGAATGAGAATACCTTTTGAGAGGCAAAGCTTGATGAACTTTAACGGAACAGTAAGGCTTACTGAAAGTATTGTGGCCCATCACCTTATGTGAGCTAGGATGCATACAGTTTTTAAACCCCAGATTTTTATATTTGAATTGCTACCTCCACTCAAAGGGGACGTGGGACGCCACAATCGTTCAATTGAAAATTCACTTGGCTTAACACTTTTAGGAAGTGTTGTAATTCGATGGAAAGACTGGTGCAGCCGACTTTAATGACGATGAAACGTCTGGAAGTTTACCCAGTAAATGGTTTAATGCTAGAAAAATAGAGGCCAGTCAGGGTGGAGGACGCAGTGCGTGGTGTGCAATACAATACCCGTTTGGTCTGCTATCCTAATTAGTGAATTGAAAAAGTAATAGCAAAAAGGCTTAACAAGGGCAACCCCAGATAAATTTAGCTCTACAAATTACTCCTTATCAAACTATATCGCCTTTAGGGGCTGTCGAACGGGCAAGATTAATGAAAAGATAGCGATTCAATTCGAAAGCACATGCAAGAATTTAAAATCAAAACTTGTTAATCGCAATGGCTCTCAAATGAAAATAGCCCTTGCATATGAAAAAAATAATCCAGAGATAGTGTAACAAAATTTTCGAGTAAATTTCAGATAAGTGTCGCCTAATGAAATCCGGTTGAACCAAACGCAGGGGAAAGTACGATTAATGTGTCAGCTTGATTGAAAGCGAATGCAAATAATAGTTTGTTGGGAAAAATCAGACCAATGAACTTATAAGCAACTTTCGGGAAAATTGAAGCATATGTGGAAACTTCCATTTC